AGGGTCTACTTACTGATTGAATTCACTGTGTGTGTGTGTGTGTGTGTGTGTGTGTGTGTGTGTGTGTGTAGTGAACTGTTTGCACCTGATCACAGATTATTAGCTATTACATGAATATTTGTTTTTGATTATGTTTCATACATTGAAAACATTTCCAAGAGCCATATGAGAATGTTTCTCATCCAATAAATTGGAAGTTTTTCTCAAATGTGTTATTTCTGCCATATGAGTTTTAAAAAGTACCTACCCACAAATACTTCCTGTTTTCCTTCAGAAAGTTCACTTTCATCAGGGAATCTACTCATTGCATTAAGCCAAGTCAGTGCTGAAGAAAATACCATAGGCCCTGGAGTTTAAAAGGGCTGAACAGCACATTATTCAGCTATGGCATTTATTCTGCTTTGTTAAAGGGGTTGGAACCCTCTTCATCATCTTGAGATAAAGCTACCACAATAGTGATTACATTTTACAAATGGAAGAACTGAGGCATTCATCCACTTACTACTTAAAGAACCATGTTATGAGTTCAGACACTGTGGCTTGAACATATGTGTTCCTGTTTTGCTATATTTTCTCTTAGTCAACCACATTCTAATACTTGGCACTGAACATGGTGTACCCTGCAATACTGAATGTAGAAAGAGAGTGATAGAGAAATAAACAAAACAGCAGCATCAACCTCCAAAGAAAAAGTTCAAGCAGACAGCTGGTTTACCCGTGTAAGTGTGGCTTTCTGATTGGGCCAATGTAGCAGAACAGATGTATCGGCTGTGATTACCGAGTTGCTGCTTCTCCTCTTCCTGGCTTCACCTTGTCCTCCACCTTTGCCTGGTAAGTTCTTATCCAGGAATTCTCTCCAGCTGCCCTCTCTACAGCTCCTTGCCACCCTGCCTGTGGCCCAATCCTCAGAGATCTGCGCAGTTCATCTATTGTACAGCCTGCAGTTGACTTATGTATGAACACTTTCTTTTATTTTGTCTTGTTTACTTATTTGAATTAATGCCTTAATCAACTTGCTTTGCTTTCCCTGCTGTTCCTCAGTTATACCTCAGACAGAGCTCTCTGATCTCTTTCGGTTGCTAAAGGTCTGTTCCCATCCATCCTGAAGCAAGCTGTGCACCCCACTCACAGGCCTCCCCACTGTCCCTTTCAGCTCAGGCACGGTGTTCTCAGAGTGTGGGCAGAGGTTCCTTCTCCTCACTCCTCTTCCCCACTCCCCTTATCTCAGCTTCCCTGGATTGGGGTGGGAACAGGGGAGAAGAGGGCGGCACAGGTTCCTCCTGGGTGTTCAGCCTCAGTTGTGGTTTCTCTGGGTTAAAGCTGTCCCTCCTGGCTCACACTGGTCCCCAGTTTAAAAAAAACAACAAGAAGCCCTCTGTTGAGTCCGGGCATGGGGTGCATGCCTGTAATTCCAGCACTAGGGAGGATGAAAACAGGAGGATCGCTATGAGTCCTAGCTGCCTGCGTAGTGAGACCCTGCGCATACAAAAATAGAAACCGTCTGTTAAGTTCTTTCAGGGAACGGGAATTCTTTGAGGGGCGCTTTCTGAGGGAAGCTCCTATTGCGGGATCAGCCTGTGTGCGCGCCTCTGGTGGAGAACCCACAGGCTGTTGGGGAGCAGGTTGGCTCCTGGCTGCCATGTGTGCGACATGGCTCAAAAGTGACCCCCGCTCTGGTGCCAGATGAGGAAGAATCACATATCTTTCCTGTACCAGGTGCGAAGAGATTGCTCCTTGATATGATCCCGCCTCCTCCCTTGTTGCTGTCTTTCTGATTCTTTTCTTCCTCACTCCACCTAGGGAAGATTAGTGTCCCGTGGCTGAGCAGGCACCCAACGAGGCTTGGGAGATGCCTGCTTCTTGCAACTGAAGATGTTCCCAACATCCAAGAGACTTTCTCAGAGTCCCCTTTACTCCTGGAAAGAAGAATCCAGGTGCTTCCCCCTCACACGTGTTGTTGGTGTCTTTTTCAGTCTTTTCTACTCTTGACTTTTTTTTTTTTTAACTAAACTGATGGATTCGAAGAAACTCTGAGGAATTAATCTGGCCCAATTTCAGCCCTGCCTGTGAACTTGTCCTTAGCTTGAATCTCAGGAAAAAGCCACTTTCAGTGTCCTGCGACTTTGACAATTCCTGCGACTTTGACACCTTTCTATGAAGCCACGTGTTGTCCTCCCTCCTCATTTTGTTTATCCTCTGGCTCTTGCTGGGTTGCAGTGGAGACAGTACCCTGTTGGGGCAAAGTTTAACCAACAGGAAGTAAACACTGATTTTGTGCCAGGAATGACACACTTTAAGCTGGATTATAGAGCCATCAGCAGCTGGTCTATGTCCTCCATATTCTGCTTTTGTGAGGAGTTTGTGAGGAATAAGTATAATGCAGGACATTTGTAAATATGACAGGATACTTAATGCCAGAATTAACTCTAAGTAATTGCTGAGATAGGGCAAAAAATAGAAAATGAATAAATAAAATCGTTACCATAAAATTAAAATATTTAGTAGTTTTAATTTCTACCCATGCCAAACTCTGTGGTAAAATTCCTGTAATTATGTTTAATTTCCTCTCCTTTTCTCTGCCTGTATTCTGGGAACTGTCCTATTAAACATGAAATTGGAGATAGATAAAAAGATAAAGAAGAGTAAAAAATGTTTCTTATTCTTGATTAACCAGTGAGTCATTAATGGTATTTGAAGAATGTAATACTCTTTTCTAACAAAACATAGATATATGTACAGCAAGTCAATATCTGCAAAAAATTTTCAATTAGGAGAGAGCTTAGATACCTCACTTAAGATTAAAAGTCAGTAAATCTAAATTACAATACAAAAGGAGACTAATCATATAAATATTTTTGCAGAAATTTTCAGTGTTTAAACATAGTGTGTTAGTTTTGTACTATGTAATAGGTCCTCCTTGAACAGGATACCTTCCTTTTTACCCGGTTCTGCCCCCTCTCCCTAGGTGTTTCTTTTTCTTTCCCCTCAAATCATCAACAGGCATCCATCATAGCGAATTTCACAAATGAGCAGGTAGGTTGGAGGTTGGGATCAATAATGGAACAGTGTTCAGTGCTGGCAGTCATCCTGTGTGTGTCTCTTCAGTCGTGTGAGGCTTTCTGGGGATGTGGGCAAGTGTCTATTTCCCAACTTAAATCTCTGAGAATAACCCATGAATTTATAAATTGGCTGTTTTGAAATGGTAATTCTTCTTCACACTAAATTCAAGAAACCCCAATTTTATTTTTTTTATACTAGCAGTGATTTTAAAACGTGGAGAAGAATCTCCATTTAAAATAATCATAAACATACAGTTCATTTATATTTTAAAATTGTTTTGTAAATTATGAAAGATTTCAAACATTCACATGACAGCAGAGCTTACAAGGGTGATCAACATATTTGATGAGTGCATAAAATAAAAAAATGATTACAGTAAAAAACACATTGCTATTAACCTTCCTTCTTGCTTTACACACATTTAGCTCCTCATTCTTGCCCCTTCCTTTTATATTTTTATTATTTATTTATTTTTATTTTTCTGTGTTTTAGGGAAGGGTCTACAGGGATTCAGGGTCTCACTACTAGATCGGACTCCTAGTGATTCTCCTGTTCACAGCCTCCTAAGTGCTGGGACTACAGACATGCGCCACTATGCCCACTCTTAATTGTCATCTCAGCATGCCCCAGGGGTGGGGCTGGCATGGCAGGCCCGGGGATTGAACTCCCAGTCCCTGCACCTGCTTGCAGGTGCTTTAATCTGCTGAGCTATTTGGCAGACCCGATTATTTATTTTTTTTTTAAAGAGAATGAAAAATAGTAAAAAAAAAATAAATAAAAATCCATGAGAAACAATATAGAATTTCACAAAACAAAGTAATAGGAGTTTCTTCTTTTGAGTTCTTTCACTAGGGAGACTATACAATATTTACACATGTGGGTCTGGTTTATTTCACTTATGAGTATAGCCTCAAGTTGCATTCACTTACCTATGAAGGCTTCAAGTTTGTTTTTCTTTATAGCTGAGCAATACTCCATTGTATAAAAATACCACATCTTTTCCATCCATTCCATAGGTGATAGGCATTTTGGTTGTTTCTGAGATTTGGCCTAATTGTGCTGCTATAAACATGGGCACACATGTATTACTATGATATGATGTTTTTAGTTCTTTTGGGAAAATTTCTACAAGGGGGATAGCTGGATTGAATGGGATTTCCAGTCCTAGTTTTTTGAGGAGTCTCCATACTGATTTCTATAGTGGTTGTACCAGTCTACATTCCCACCAGCAGTAATAAAGGGTTCCTTTTTCCCACAGCCTTTCCAACATTTGTTGTTGGTTGATTTCTTTATGATAGTCATTCTTTCTGTGGTGAGATGGTATCTCAATGTTGTTTTAATTTGCATTTCTCTAGTGGCCAGAGTTGTGGAGCATTTTTTCATGTATTTATTTGCTTCCTGTATTTCTTCCTCTGAGAAGTGTGTATTTATCTCAAGGTGCCCATTTTTTTTGGAACAATAAAGAGAAGATTAGCATGGCCCCTGTGTAAGAATGACACGCAAATTTGTGAAGCGTTATATACATATATATATATATATTTTTTTTTTTTTCTGAGAATGCTGAAAGTGAGCATCTGAAAGAAGAAATGCTCCTTACAAATGATAGATTTTGAGTGGAAGTTGAGATTAGAATATTGTGTTCATCTGTAATATAAAACAATCACTATCCTTGGTGCTTTTTCCTCAATGCGCAAATAATTGTGAACCGTTTGAAATTATTGAGACTACAAAATCAAGCAGTGCCACACACCAAGAATTCTATGCATTGCAGCCTACATAATTCAAATTGGTAACATGTTAGCTTGAAGCTTATGTTTAAAAAACTACTACGTCCTCATTATGTGGATACACGCAATTGCTATAATTCTTCAAAGAAGCTCTTCTAGCATTAAATCGTCATATGTAAACTGACGCTTAGAAAATAAGCGTATGACATAGTAGTGGTTTTAAAAGGTACCAGATGCAAAAGTCACAAAAATGTACAATTAAATAAATTCCTACATTTCACTTGAATGTATATTGTATAAAGGTATGTCTTGTAAGCAGCTGAGTGTACCTGCATTTTCTGTATGTGAAAATATGGTTAGTGTACTCATTATGGGGCTGAGAAAACTACTTGTTTTTTAAGTGAGTCTGAATAAAATACTTTTCTTTCCAGAAAAAAAAGATGCTCATTTTTGGATTAGGTCTTTAAATTTTGGGGCCCTAATGTTTTTTAGTTCTTTATATAGTCTATATAGAAGACCTTTGTCTGAGTGATTATTAGTTAAGATTTTTTCCAAATTTGTGGGTTGTTTTTTCACTGTATTGGTAATTTCTTTTGATGTGCAGAAATTTCTCAATAAGAGAAGGTCCCAGTTGTTAATTTTTTCAAATTTTTCCTGTACAGTTTGATTTTTGTTCATGATATGTTTGCCTACCCCTATATGTTCAAGAAGTAAAAAAGGCTGAAAGGTATAACAGACACAGTTAAATAGAAAGAAACAGAATTTAGGATTAAACAACAATGAGAGAGAAAGGAGAAAGGTTAGGAAATAAGGTAGGGTGAAAACCATATATGTATATATACAAGTTGGATAAAGCAATAGTCCTAAGAATTTCCATCAGGTTTATGAAAATAGCAGTTAATGGGTAGAATTCTCACCCTGAAGAACTCTATGTTGATATCTGTGAACTAAGCAACTACATTGAGGACAACTAAGTGTAATACTGAAATATCTGTCATCTTGGTCTTCTAAATGTGTGCTGTTTCTAATGTCATATCAATTATTACTATACTCTCCTTAAAGTAAAATTTTTAAGAAAGGTAATAAAAGAAAATGAGTCAAGTACAAAGATTTAAGATTTCTTGAAAGCATGTGCTAATAGTCAATCATATGTCCTTGTGTGAAGCAAGGAGAAATATTCTGAGGAAGATTAATAACAATATATTTTATTGGAATAATTATTAAATAATAATTATTAAGAATAATTATGAAGTTCTTGAGATCGTGTATTTTCCAATTATAACCCATATTGAGAATTTTTAATCTCTGCTTGCTTGCATTTAAATGATTGCTATGTAACTTTCTTTTCTCATACCTACTTGCCTAGTTTTGGTACTCTGATTTTCACCAACTTCATAAAGAACTGGGTAACTTTTCTCTTTTTCTGTGTTCAGAATCTGCTTGAATGATACAGATTTTTTTGTCTCTTTATTCCTTGGAAGCTGAGGTCTGTTTACTTATAAGATCTTCCAGCTCTATTGTCTCGATTTTAAAAGACTCGATTGCCAGTGCAATCTCTAATGATTGTTGGCCTTTTTCTGTTCCTTCTTGGGTCACTTTTAGAAATTTGTATTTTCTAAGAATGAATCTATTTATTTTAAGTTTTAGATTTGATACCTAATGTTCCTAATATTGTCTTATGATGTTTAAGATCTACTGTTTAGTTTTGCTTTTTCTCTTTTTAACAAACTTTGCCTTCCTTTTTTTTGTGGAACTGGGAATTGAACTCAAGCTATCTATTCTACGAGCTATCTCCCCAGCCCTTGCCTTCCGTTTTTGATTAAAACCCCCAACAATCTATCTACTCATTAGCTGCTCAAAGATTCAGCTTTGGATTCTGTATATCTTTTGCATTACCCTCTTACGTTTGTTTCTTTAATCATATGATGTTGATTTTTCTTGATTTTACATTGTTTAGATTTACTTTGTAGTTTTTCCCTAGCTTCTTCTTCTTATTTTCTTTTTCTTTTTTTTGGGGAGGGGAACCGGGGATTGAACACAGGCCCTTGTGCTTGCCAGGGAAACATTTATTCTACTGAACCATCTCCCCGGCCTCCCTAGTTTCTTGTATTGAACATTTGTTTTAAGATTTGTTTCCAAACAAATAAAATTAATGTTGTAAATTTACTACTAAAAAGTAATCTAATTCATCTATATGTTTTAATTTCTTATTAACTCAGGCTTCATATCTGAGTTAATTTTTTTTTAAAAAACCAAACATATATTTCTCTTATGTTTTAGTTACTTTGCAACTCTAATTTAATTATATCATTATCAGGGGATGATATGTGTGATTGAAGTTCCTTGAGATCTTGGCATTCTACCAATATTTTTAGATGTTCCGCATGCTTGTGAAAAGATGGCTTAGTCTTTTTATATAGTGTGATTCTTTTTATTTCTACTAGATCAAGCTGGTTAATTTTGTTATGCCAATGTTTGTATTCTAACCAGTACTAATTTTTCTGTATGATTATATATTTGTCAATTTTTGATTTATATATTTTAAAGCTATGAAAATCATACTTACTTTATGTTATTATGTTGAATTGTTAAATCACAATTTTAATCTTTTTATTATCATATAACTGGCTGGTTTATTTATCCTCATATTTTTTGGATCTTAAGTCTATTTGTATGATATTATTATTGCTACATTCACTCATTTATCTAGTATTTGAGTTTTTTTTTTTTTTGGAACCAGGGATTGAATTTAGGGCTTTGCGCTTGCCAGGGAAGTGCTTATTCCACTGAGCCATCTCCCCAGCCCTATCTAGTATTTGAAAGCTGTATATTTTTCTAGTTTTTGCTTTTCATTCTTCTGTGTGATTTTACAGAAGGTATGCTTCTTGCAAGTGGCATATGATGAGAACATTTGCAGGACAACCTCGGTAACAGGTTAGACCAATTCATTTTCAATCATTAATTCACTTTTACATTTGCCTATGTTCTCATCTTATTTGTGTTTCCTGTTCACCATTCTTTCCTTTGTATCCTCTCTCCTTTTCTCATCCTCTTCAGCAGATTTAGAAGCAGTGAAGCTTATTTCCAATAAAGTGGCTCCTCCTAGTCATTAAGTTTTCTCTACTTAAGAAGACAAAGCCTGTAGTTATTCAGTATTTCCTTCTTCCAATGCTAATGGCCTTAACTCATTAAGTTATTGGTTGATATTTTTATAGTCACTATTAAATGGAATTACAAACCTTTTAAAGGTTTACATTTGTCTCAAATTCTACAGTTTTTCTTGCTGAATCACTTAAAAGACAAAACAAGATACAAGGCAAATAGTAAATTAATTATACCAAATTCCACTAAATAGCAATTTAATTCACCTGTAAGTTTCCATTTTAAAACACCCAGACATATATTTCTCTTACATTTTTGCTACTTTGCAACAGTGATTTCTAATTCAATTCTATTTGCACCAGGGAGTTGGGTAGCGCATCCCTCTTGAAACGTCTTCATGGAGTCATCACCCTTCTGTGGTAATTTGGATGATGTCTTGGGGCATTAGTGCTGCTGTAACAGAATACCACAGGCTGTGTGGTTTGCAAAGAAGGAAATGTGTTCCTCAGAGTTCTTGAGGCTGGGAGGTTCAAAGTCAAGGCTTCATAGGTTGTGATGTACTTAATTGGCTGGTAGTGAGCACCCCTCAGGAGGGGAGGGGTGCTGGGTAACTGAAGCCAAAGTGTAAAGGGGCAGAACAGGGCAGAAGCATTTGTGTCAGGGCCTTCATCCCATTCAGCAGGGAGGCAGCTTTAAGGACTAATCACCCAATTCCCATCTTTTTTAATTTAATTTTTAAAATTTTAATGTACTACAAGTGGATATTAACAAAGAATAGGTGAACATACTCTTTTATGAAAAAATAAAATGAAATTTCATAGCAAAATAATCAAGGAATAACCATGGTTACTTTACTGTGTAATATGATCTTGTAAGAATGGCCAGATTGTTACTCAGAAAACAAATCATAAACAAAACAAAGTTCTCTATCACAAACAAGAAAAAGACAAATAAAAGGAGAAAATCTTATTTTCAAGGAACAGAAGAAACTGTCAGTATAAATGAAATGGATTAGCATTTATCAATGGCACAAGAAATAATAGATTCAACAAGTGGGATCATATCAAATTAAACAGTTTCTGCATAGCAAAAGAAATAACCAACAGAATGAAGACACAGCCTGCAGAATGGGAATTTCTTTTTTCTCTGAATGCCTTCAGGGCAGGTTTGGCTGGCTAGAGTTCTGGGGATTGAACCACAGCAACCTGAGCCTGACTGCTTTGTTGGAGCAGGCACTTAAATAACTGAGCTAAGGGGCAGGCCCCTGCCAGCTACTCATTGGACAGAGAATGAAAATCTAGGGTACAGGGCCAGCCAGATTGCTCAGTGGATTACAGCTCTTGCTTAGGCAGACTCCGGGGCTGGGGTTCGACTTCCAGTTTGCTATGCTGGCCCTGCCCCCGGGGCATGCTGAGACAGTGATTGAGATTGGGCATGGTGACATGCGCCTGTAATCCCAGCGCTTGGGAGGCTGAACACAGGTAGATCA